GTCTCAATCGAATGAATGGCCTTCAGATTGCTTTCAATTTATCAATGCATTTTAATGTTTTATATCAAGAGTAAATGAATTTGATGTATTCACTATTCCTCTTGTCACATCTTAATTATATATCCCATCAGAATTCAGCCTCTATCTTGAGCATATCACATTTCACTTCTCGTCTAGCTACTCTATCCTTTTTGTCTCCTTGACTATATGCTCATGCTTCACTCATCCTATGCATACTCTCCACTACCATAACTAAGCATGTTTTGGAACCTCCATTTCTCCAGAATGTACTTAACTATTAAAACCATTTTCATTTACAATTCCCAACTGATCATTTTACATTTATAGGCTCCTTAGTTATACCATTTATCTTCTCTATTAATGTAATGCTTTACTTATCTTTCAGTCACAAGCAAAATTTGAATTTAACTATAGTATGAAGTTACGGGCTTAAGGTATCCGCAGACTTCGCCAAATCCAGCTTCTCTGCATATAATTAAATTGCATCGATTATATCGACAGATCTCCACCTCATTATACTACACGATACCACAAATGACACTGCGCTTCGCTAGGTCAGACTAAATCATAGTATTTGATACGAAATGAGACCTCGTGTTATATTATCATTTAAATTTATCGGTTCGCAACTATTATCTTTGCACTCTGGTCGCTCTTTTACCTCTTCTCTCATTTATTTTATCCTACTTTCTACTCACTTGTTCGTTTTCTTTCTATCGCCTCTAAATCACATTACCACCTAACCCTCAGTCCATAGCCTATCCGACCCCCAAGTTTATTCAGAAGTGGAACTATTTGCTGCTCTCCTTCTATCCGGTCTTCATCTTCTTCATCCCGCAATGCCCCATCTCACCGAGGTTATCTGGCAAGGACTGGCTGCTCGAGCATGTCTCAAGTCTGTTAATGGACTTACCACCTGCCTGGCAACTAAGGTCTTCCCTTCTCCAAGCTGGGTATGTGCATACGCCTATTCACAATAGAGATAGCTTAGATTCGACCACTTATGATCTTAGTATTTCCTTTAGAAAAGCTTATTTTATAAGTCCTTTCATATGAGGCAGCTGAAGCCAGTCTAAGAAGTGAACTCTGACTATTTATTAGTTCCTTGAAAGATTAAGGCTCTGTATTTCTTTTGAATACGTCTACAGAATCACTTAAATTTCTATGAAATTCAACTTTTAAGATAACACTATGTGTATGCATTAGAGTATCAGGAATTTTTAGTAACAATTAGCCCGCCAGAATTACTCACATCTTCTATTGCTTGCCAACCATTAAGAGCCTTATTATGCAAACTATTCTTCCTTGCTTTTAAGGCCTTCTTATTCAAAACCAGCATTTTTTTCGTCTACAAAAATTACAAATCTGTACTATGCAACGTCGATGAAGTTAACTCATAAAAAGTTTGATTTAAGGGGCACTATTTATGTTAAGCAATTATTGA